GTCCCTCCTAGCACAAATACCTCCCGAACATCCCTACTAGTACAACCCCCCCCCCCAAAGTTCCCCTCCTAGCACGAATAACCCCCAAACATCCCTACTAGTACAACCCCCCCAAAGATTCCCTCTAACACAAATACCCCTCAAGCATCCCTACTGGTACAACCCCCCCCCCCCCTCCTGAAAGTTCCCCTCCTAGCACAACTACCCTCCAAACATTCCTACAAGTACAAATCCCCCCAAAGTTCCCCTCCTAGCACAAATACCCCCCAAACATCCCTACTAATACAAATCCCCCCCCCCAAGTTCCCCTCCTAGCAAAAATACCCCCCAAACATCCCTACTAGTACAAATCCCCCCCCCCCCCCCCCCAGGTTCTCCTCCTAGCACAAATCCCCCCCAAACATCCCTACTAGTACAAATCCCCCCAAAGTTCCCTTCCTGTTACAAATACCCCCCAAACATTCCTACTAGTACAAATCCCCCCCAAAGTTCCCCTCCTAGCACAAATACCCCCCAAACATCCCTACTAGTATAAAATCCCCCCAAAGTTCCCCTCCTAGCACAAATACCCCTCAACCATCCCTACTAGTACATATCCCCCCCCCCCAAGTTCCCCTTCTACCACAAATACCCCCCAAACATCCCTACTAGTACAATCCCCCCCAAAGTTCCCCTCTCCTAGCACAACTACCCCCCAAATGTCCCTGCTAGTACAAATCCCCACAAAGTTCCCCTCCTAGCACAAATACCCCTCAAACATCCCTACTAGTACAAATTCTCCCCCCCCCCCCCCCAGTTCCCCTTCTACCACAAATACCCCCAAACATCCCACTACTAGTACAATCCCCCCCCCCCCCCCTCCCCCTAAAGTTCCCCTCCTAGCACAACTACCCCCCAAATGTCCCTACTAGTACAAATCCCCCCCAAAGTTCCCCTCCTAGCAAAAATACCCCCCCAAGCATCCCTACTAGTACAAGTCCGTCCCCCCCCAAGGTACCCCTCCTAGCACAAATACCTCCCAAACATCCCTACTAGTACAACCCCCCCCCCCCCAAAGTTCCCCTCTAGCGCAAATACCCCCCAAACATCCCTACTAGTACAACCCCCCCCCCAAAGATCCCCTCCTAACACAAATACCCCCCAAACATCCCTGCTAGTACAACCCCCAACCCCCCCCCCCCCCCCCGAAAGTTCCCCTCCTAGCACAACTACTCCCCAAACATCCCTACTAGTACAAATCCCCCAAACATCCCTACTTGCCTTTTCTAACACAAATCCTCTTCCCCCTCCCAACACAAATCCTTCCAAATCACCACTCCTAGCACAAACTATCCCCAAAATTCCCACCCCTAAAACAATTCTTACTCCCTGTCACCCCCCCCCCAATTCCCCCTCAACAGATCCCCTCCCTCCGATCTGCTCATGCTGCTCCCCCACTTCACCTAATACAGTGCCCAGGGCAGCCGCCCCTCCTGCCCACCTTGTCACACCCCTGCAGCAACCTATTTGAATGGGATGCTGTACCTGGGAACAGTCCCCCACCCTCTTTTAAAAATGCGATTTCATGGAACCGTGTGCTGCAGCATGTGGATTTGCACCTTTTTTCAATACATGGGGGTGCCATTGACAATTCATGCCCGCCCCCCCTTATGCATCTGCTAAACCTTTGCCTGTGACTCGGGAATGAGATGGTGTCACTGGAACAGGAGAGCTGATTGGACGATTAATGGTTGTCTCTCATTCCTCTGACAACAATTACACTTTGGTCCCCAACACTTCCTGTCCCAGTGACAACAGGAAATCAGAGAGTGATGGGAAATCCTCTGTATCACGGGAACAATCCCCCTCACATTTTCATTTCGGTTCCCATCACATTCTGTCCCAGTGACGGCGGAGAGGAAGTGACTCGCCCAGTGGGACGCAGACAGCAATAAAAAGTTATCGGGGTTCAGCCTGCGCCCCAAACCAATGACAGGGACTCTGTACTAAGTGATTGTTATGGCTGGGCGATCACTCCGCACATGTCACGTGACTCCGGCACCGAGCAGCTGACCCCCCCCCCCCCCCCCCCCGGTCACATGGGCGGCGCTCTGGTTGGCGTGCCCTGCGTCTGGCGTCATCAGCGTGCTGCAGGCGGTGGTAGGACAGCAAGGTGACCGATCCTCTGTGCCCCGGGAGAGGTGAGTGGTGGAGGAGGATGCTGGGATATACACGGCCGGTGCCGCCCTCGTCTCTGTACTGTCCCCGGTGTACAATGGCAGGCGTCCCCGGGCTGCCACTGACTTTTTGTACTACATGGAGGGGGACACGCTGCTGGCCTTACATCTTCTTTATTATATAGTGTATGCCATGGTTTACTGAGTGCATACCCCTCCCCCCATGTGTCCCTTTGCAGAAGCCCTCCCATGCTTGCTCTGTTTTGCTAGAGTGGGAATGACACCCCCGTCCCCTGTGGGAATGACAACCTGCCCGTGCCCCCTGTGGGAATGACTCCCCCCTTTGTCCTTTCTGAGAATGACACCCTGCCCGCGTCCCCTGTGGGATTGACACCCTGCAGAAGCCCCCCCATGCTTGCTATGTCTTGCTACAGAGTGGGTATGACCCCCCCCCCCCACCTGTGCATTCTGTGCCCAGTCAATGCATGTAGCCCCCCCCCCCCCCTTTCTGGGGAATGACACGCGTCTCCTGTGGGAATGACACCCTGCCCGCGTCCCTTCTGGGAATGACACCCTGCCCGCGTCCCCTCTGGATGTTGCCCCCCATCTGTACATGCCTCCCTATTCATATCACCTCTGTGCATGCCATCCTGCTTATGCCCAATTTTTGCATGACTCCCTCCCTTGTGTCCCCTCTTTTTGGATTCTGCCCCTGTTTATGCATGCCACTCTGCTTGTGCCCCGCCTGTACATGCCACCACCCTCAAGCCCTTGTGGATATTGTCTTGTATGTTCCCTTTCTTTGTATGCTACCCACCACCCACTTGCCCTTCCTTGTGTCACCTTTGCAGATGTTACCCCACCCCCATCCCTTCCCTTGACCCCATGCCGTAGAAGAGGGGGCAGGGTTGTGACTGTATTGCTGGGGACTATGGGACCTGCAACACCTACATCCAAGCAGACACAGGAGTACAAGCAGAACAATTACAGATTTTACAGCTGTAGATTGAAGGCGGCATGATGGGAGAGATGGGAAATAGAAACAAAACAGCACAGGTCTGGCCACACCACAAGTTAAGGGATAGGTTCATGTTTGGGAGCATCTTACATGTTCCATCTTTTTATAGGGTGGACCATGTAACTTGTTCCCAGTGCTGCAGCCTCTCCCTGATCCGCCAGCTCTAGTGAAAGCGAGCCGAGGATCCTCTAATCGCACTCGCTGTCACTATTTAAGAGAAAAAAAAAACACACATTGCTCTGCCCACCCGGCCACATCATCCACAGAGTTCTGTGAATGGCAAAACTACAACTGCCATCAGCCTTTGTGACTGACGGTTTGTAGGTTTCGATGAACTACCAGAGCGTTGGTGAGCACTGTAGATAGTTCAGTGATTCTTCCTGTTGGTGTGTACCTGCCTGCTTATACGAGGTACAAGCAGACAGCTTACACTGACAGTCTGCGGAAGCCTGGCATTGCCCATTGTGCTGATTGCGGGTGCAATGCTTTTACAGGCTCCTAATAAAACAAAAATAACTTTTTTACCTGCAGGAAAATGTGCATTTATTAAATATTTTTTAGAAGGTGAACTTATCCTTTAGGTAATACTAAAGCCAGGATGGAGCCCAGGACTTGTGCATCCATAGACGCACACAGTGCTTGTAAGCCCCACCCCTGCTCCCTTCTCACAGGAGTTTGACTGACAGCAGCAGGAGCCTATGGTTCCACTACTCTCAATTTTTCCTCTGAAAATAGGAAGTGAAGGGAGCAGTGCCATAACTAGAGAGGTGACGGGGCACAGGTAAGTGTTTAGGGATGGGGGTAGGACAGATAGTGGGGCATTTTTCGTCCTTAAAAAAAATTTCACTTTGGTACCATTCTATATATGGAAAAAATACCGGGTGGGGGGGCTACATTAGAGTAGGACAGGATGGGTGTCACTTTTGTGACACTCGTGCCCTTTCAGGTTTTTTTCGTCCACATTTTGATAGCAGACTCTGTCGACACGTTGGAGCTGGGTGGCCGAATGTAAATGGACTTGTGACCTTCTACATGTGGCTACTTCTGATCTGCAATTTTTAGACCTGGAAAATCAGGTGCAGTCCTTTTCCATCTTTTTTTTTTTTTTTTCTGGATCTCAACAGACTCAAATGTATGCGGATGTAAATGGACACAAGTCTGTTTATGTCCCTTTACCCATAGAGCTTCCAATCGGGTCCCCCCCCTGAAAAAACTGCCAGGCAGACCAGATCGGAAAGCCTATCTGAATAAGGGTAAGTGAAGCCTGTGTATGGCTGCTGATATTATGGGAACAGTGAGGAGCTGCATCCTCCAAAACATGAAAGTTCTGATTCTGTTGGAGGTGTCCCTATACAGGATTATGTTGGGAAGGAGCACTCCACATAAAACCAGTTTGCAATATATCAAACATTAATTGAATCCTAATTATATCCTTTATTTAGCTTCTGAGAATCCCTCAAGTAGGGATTGCCAGGTTCCATTTATCATTAGCAAGGGGTGCAGGTTGATAGGTAAACATGTTTTCTTTAACCTTTCACAAGGCGAGCTTTTGCCATTCCGTGTCTTGATATGAATATATAAGCAGCAGGAAATTTTGGGCCCATAAGATACAATGAAAAATACACACACACTGTGTGTGTATGTATATTATTTATACAATGTACAGGGGGGGGATGTAGGTGTATGTATGTATTTGTGTGTATGTGTGTGTATATATATGTATATATTATTATTATTTTTTTTTTTCCTCAGTGGAGCTTATGGTATGTATCATGTGTTTCACTTCTTACGGCTCTTCTGTTTCTAGGTGAATCATACGTGAAATCATGGTCCTTCAACATCTCTTCCGCTTGTCCTCCATCTTTCGCTCCACAGCCTCTGTTCATCTACGAAGAAATATTGGGATGACAGCCATTGCTTTCAACAAGGCTAAGGAGCTCGACCCCATTCAGAAACTCTTTGTGGATAAGATCAAGGATTATAGGACAAAGAGCCAGTAAGTATTGCCACAGTGATTGAGTAAACATTTGCTGCAGTTTTTATGAAATGGCACCCATTGCTGTAATTACTAATAGTAATCTTAGTTTTTTAAGCGCACACACATCCCCCCCCAATCCTCCTTGGTGGCTGCCATCTAGAAAAAAATATCTACAGTCTCTCCAGCTACTACTGTGAATTTTTGCACCACTCAGCCTCATTCCTTATAGCTGGACACAGAGGAGACTTCTTTCTGCAAAGGTTGTACGGTTCTGGTAATAAGGGCCACTCAGTGAAGATCTTAGGAGTGAGGATGAATATAAATATTTTATTAAGATGCCTGCCACGGCGGAGAACATTGTAAAGGACAAATTCACAAAAAAATAAAGCCTTCCTTTTAAAATATCTTTTACTTGTTTTACTAAAATCAATTAGTCTTTTTAGCAATGCTTGTTTTATCCCATAATGATTTTCTTTTATAAATTTCATCAAATTAACAAGTATATGTGCCGGGGTGGCACAGTGGCTTAGTGGTTAGCACGTCTGCCTTGCAGTTAATGGGTCATGGGTTCGATTCCCGACCATGGCGCCTGCTGCATGGAGTTTGCATGTTCTCCCTGTGCTTGCATGGGTTTTCTCCGGGTGCTCCGGTTTCCTCCCACACTCCAAAGACATGCTGATAGGTTAATTGGATCCTGTCTAAATTGGCCCTAATATGTGTATGTATGAATGTGAGTTAGAGACCTTAGATTGTACACCCCTTGAGGGTTAGGGACTGATGTGAATGTTCAATATATATGTGTAAAGCGCTGCATAAGTTGACAGCGCTATATAAATACCATAAATATATAATAGAAAAAAAAACACAGTAAAACACACCTCCTGCTCTACTAAGTAACACAAATGATAATTAAGGGGAGGGGGCTGCTAACACCCAACCATATACCAAATGGATAATTGCAGATTATAAAAATTATGGTGCAATTTCATAAAATAATTATAAATCATTAAGCAATTGAATGTATAATTTTCACATGAATTGCGGTTTTTGTTCAAAAGATCACCATTTTAAGTGACTTATTTCCCCTCTTCTCAACAGACACCTCACTGAAATTCTTAATTATTGGCACCCTCAATTTGGCGGTATTTTAAAGCAAATTAGTAGTTTGACCATTCAGTGCAAAGTTAAAGGTTTATTTTAGAGCAGGAAGTATAGGAAATACACACATTTTCACACACTTTCTTGGCAGAGATACACTTGGCATTTCCCAGCATGGAGGAGCATGTGAGAGGAAGGTGGTACTTTTTTAATTTTAAGAACACATTTTATTTTTTTTTTAAAACCAGAGTTTGATGTCACTTTAAAGTGAATAAATTAAGCTGAATGCAGTCAATTTTGAATGATCTGTGTGATACAGACTTGGGCGAATTGAAAATGCTAATTTTGACTATAAAAAAGTGTTTTTGTTACCACCATGTGGTATGCTCTGGTGAACTGATCCTCTAGTGAAATCAACAATATGGAGAGGCATCAGTTTTCAGGCAGAGCAGTTCAGCATCTTAATATTGGCCTTGTTGGAGTTCAGTGCTGTGATTTCTGTAGTGGGTCCCTTGGTCCAGGTCCAGGTTTTAACAGACCTAGGGGAGCTTCTCGTAAATTTCACAGATACTCTACTACATTTCCTATGAAAAGGTCTTTTAAAGTGATACTAAACACACACTGTTTACATTGTCCAATCTATTTCTATTTGATGACGGCACTGTAATTATTTTAATAAAAAAAAAAAAAAAATCTAAGTACCTTTTTCTCAAGGACAGCCCCTTGAGACGTTGAGCTCCTCCCTCCAGGACAGGAAACGCGTAAGCCCAGAACCTTAAAAGGGGGACCTCCAGGCCTCCCTCTTCAGTATTTGTGTTTCCTCCGGAAGGATAGGTTGCACTTTTAGGAGCTCTAGTCCCAAGAGTGGTGCTGATGGCTCTTGTCTAAGTGAGTACCTCCTCCTTGTCTGGCGCGATCCCTTCATCTCGGAGAGGAGTGGGGCTGCGCTCCTGTTGCTTTCCAGTCCTTAGAGGAGGGGGACTGCCAAGGATGTCCAGCGCCACTGCCAGTAGGGACTGACAGAATAGATGTCCTAACTGCCGGGTGGGCGGCCCGCGACTTCTGTTAGGCGGAGCGCTGCGCTCCAAGCTGTTTAACCGTAAGTTCCGGTCGCAGTGAAGTCATTGGTGTGGTTACCACACCATAAGGAACATAAGGGAGGGCGCTGACCCCCCCCCCACAGCAGGTGGACCCTGGTTCCTCAGGCACCGGCTCCTCTCAGGTAGGCTTGGGGACTTGCTGGCTCCCTCTTGCTGACTCCTGAGGTGGTATTTTTCTTCCAGTCCCTGAATCTCAAGTAACAGTGGAGCACTCTTCTGGTTTCTCCCTTTGCACAGTGGTGTTTGGGATGGGGAGACCAGGCTAATTTTCTCCTGTATTGTGTTTCTGCTAATTGTAGGGTCTAGGGTAAGTCTAGGACAAGACACAGAATCAGGCCCCCAAAAGGAAGTGTGCAGTTTGTGTGGCGAAATTGGATTCCGCTTGGGAAAAGCCCTTATGCCACAATGGTGTGGATGGTCTAATTAAGGATGAGTCCTTTACAGCCTGCCATAAGGTTCTCACCTCCATTAAGGATGAAATGACGACTACATTTCAGTCATTTAGATCCTTGCTAGATAGAATGCAGACACCGCTGGGGTCTTGGACCCAATCTGCGGGTACTGTGGTATTGGAGACATTGAACTGAAGAGAGGAGGACCTGGAAGAGGATTCTAGGTCCCTTGCTTCTTCTCAAGCGGGGTCTGGCTCAGAGGAGGACTATGGAGAAGGTTGCCCCTCCAGGGGTTCCAGGTACAAATTGGCCCTTGATGATGTAGATGACGTCCTTAAGGCTATCTATGAAACCTTAGAGATTGAGGAGTTTGACATGTGTCTGTTTAAGCATGACCTCATGTATCAGGGTCTACATGCTAATAAGGGGTCTTTCCAGTCCATAATTCCCTGGTTGATACCATTAAGTTGGAGTTGGAGAACCCTGAAAGAGAGCCCTTTTTCTCTGGTAGTCTTAAAAGGAGAGGTGAAATTTTTCCCCGGAGGGCCTGGGATTCTACCTCTATCAGCTTTAAACCGGCTTAATCGGCCACATGTGTCGCCAGAAATTTGGAATGCTGGCTTACCCAGTTACAAACGCATCTTTTGGCAGGGAATCCAAGACAGCAAATATTAAAGTCCTTTCCTTTGCTGTTTAGACCAGTAGGTTTCCTCACTCATGCCTCGGCCGAATCAGTTAAACTAGTCGCAAGAACATCTGCCCTGGTGAATTCAGCTAGAAGGGCATTATGGTTGAAGACCTGGGCAGGGGATTCAGCATGCAAGCTACGTCCTTGTGCACAAATTATTTTTTTTTTTTTTATTTCCACACCCCTGTCTTTCCCAGCCTGTCTGCAGGGAAACATAAGCAGGACGAGCTTCTAGTCCTCTGCTGCTGGTCACATGTTCAAAATAAAAACATCCTTTGGGATACAGAATAAAAATAAATAATATAAATAAAACTGTTTTAAATTTTCATACAAATATATATTTGAAATCAAATCTTTTTTACTATTTTTTTTTTTTGGGGCCATATAATGGTGTGTGGGTGGATTTTTGCCAGTTAGAGGCTGTCTCACGCCCCTCCAGCCTGTGTCTTAAAATAAGAGGGATGAAGGCTCCATCAATCTACATGTTATATCCCGCTCACATTGTGTTTAGCTAGTTAGTGGCCATGGAGGAGGAGGGTGGGAGTGGGCTGTCATTTACTACTGTGTATATGTCCACATGTATGAGTCAGTGCTCAGCATAGAACCTCACTGAAAACTGAGCATGTGCAGAGCTGCCAACACGGTTCTGCAAAATCCCTTGTGAAATCGGGCCATGGACAGAAGGGGGAGATAGAGAACAGCAGGATCAACCAGGTTTTTTTGCAGGATATTGAAAACAAATCTTATAGTGACTGAGTATGACCAGCATGTAATACACCATTTATTTATAGTTTATTATGATGACATCTAGGTTCACGTAGGCTTCAGTTTGTAAACAATAGTATGAAGAACAATGCATACAACAAGCATTTACAAAGAGCTGCCTTGAAGCTGGAAAAGCTCTCTTTGGCTCTAGTTTGGAGATGTTTGTACAGATTTTAGACCAATAACACTCATTGTCGGGAACTGTTGTAGCTGTACCTTGACAGTCACTATCCAACGTATGCAGTAGCAGAGTACAATGATCTGTATCTCCCAGATTTCACTTTACAGAAAGCAGAACTATGAAAGATCTACTCTTGCTGGTTGCTGTAGGTCACCGTATGCACATGTTCTTTTCCTTGTGGTAGATTTGCCTGGAGAATCAGCTTGCAGAGTGTAAAAGTATATACTTTTGAGCTAATCAAATTCATATTATGTTTTGTTAAAGGGCAAGTGGAGGCACAGTTGATGCTGGCCCCGAATATAAGAAGGACCTTAACGAAGACATCAGTAAACTACAGAGGTTATATGGCGGAGGAGACTTGGAGAAGTTCCCAGAATTCAAGTTTGAAGGTTGGTAACATTTGTGCTTTTTGTTTATTATATACTGCTTTATTGTCCCTTATGGGAGTGCATGAAATAGAACATTGGCAGCATACAACAAGAATAATCTCCTCAATAAGTGTCGTCTTTGACAGTAACCCTGGTTTTATCTGTGGGTTATTTTTTCAACTGTTACTGTGACGACACCTTTGCAGAGAGACTTTACTTTGCCCTGAAGTTAATAAAATCTAGTGAAGCCCTGCTCTCTTCACATATAGACCGATTCATTTGTATTACTTTGCTTTCATGAAGTGGTAATAAACAGAAAAGCACACATGTATTGCACTTTACCAATATCTTAGAAGTGTTGGCTACATTCGCTTTCTTTTGTTTTTTTTTTTTTCTCTCTTAGTCTTTCTTTCCTTTTTATTTTAACCTGGTGATCCTACCAGTAAGTCTGTTGTTTTTCAGCAGAACAAGGTATCCAACATAAGTAGCAGTTTAAAACCCACCATTTAACACTGACAGGAATGCTTAAAATGATCAGCTTATATTTATTCATGTAATACCTTTACCAGAGAAAGAAGAACACTGCTGTAACTGCTTCTAATGCATGAGCTGGAGTTCATCTTCAATTTGTTAATGCATCTAAATCTGCTAGTACATTTAACACTCCCCCAGACTGACAATGCTGCTGTCCAAAGGTGCCACTGCTGCTCCTTCAGTAGTGACACTCTAGAACAGGAGGTGTGTTACTGGCAGGATCACCAGGGGAAAAAAGCCTACAAAAAGGAAAACGAATGCAGCCACCATATCTAAGGATTGGTAAGCTGCAATATATTATAGTTTTGGTTTTAATAACATTTTTTAGTTTTGGGTGTGTTCTAGTGGATTGAACACCAGATGGGTGTTTTTATATCTCATGATTTCTGCCAGCAGTAATTAAGTTTGCCCCATTTCTGGTAAAAGGAATGTTACTCTCCCCATCAGTCGTCTTATTATTATTATTATTATTATTATTATTATTATTATTATTATTATTATTGCTTGCTACTACAGTGAATTCAGCAGTGATTGTGATTTCATGGTAGCATGGAATAGTTTGAAGCTCTGTTTCTGAGTAATGTCTCAGATGAAACCTTGAGAGATTAAAGACCACCTTCTGAGAATGCCTTCCCACTAGTTATATGCTGTGAGTCTTTAATCTGGAATAGATCAGCATATCAGAAATTTAAGGAGTCCTAATCTGTATACTTCAGGTCTGGGGCTCAAAGTACATAAGGAGAGGTCGTAAATGTTGGCCACCATGTTATTCTCATGACAGGTCACTTTAATCAGGACCTGAGCTCCTGCCATTGCAGACTTCTCTGGTTGATAATGCTAGATGCCTGGCTGTCATTTTCACCACCTGGGTTTAATACTTTTGAGTCACTGACCCACAGCCAGTGCTAAAAAAAAAAAAAGTTTAAAATATCTGACTTTTCTTTGGCTTTCCTGATCCAGGTGTGTAGTTTGGTTATAGGTTTGGAAGACGAAGCAAAGAGGGACCCCATGACAGCTAGGCAACTAGTGTTTTCATGTCAGCAATGGCATTCTATCATTAAAGGTGTACTTTTAGCATCCTTTTCTGCAATTTCTGGACAGTGTTGGGGATCCTCCAAAAGAAACATTTTGACTGCATATGTAGAACGTTTGGCCAGATTTCATATACTTTTATGTTGGATTTATTTAATTTTTCTTCAATTTTTTTTTTCTTTCATTTAGAGCCAAAACTTGATGAAGTTCTGAAGTAAATTTTCCCTTTATCCCTGAAAACGGATGTCACCTGTCTTATATGTTCCTAGTAAATTAATAAATCATTTTGGTGATGACTTTCAGAGTGTGTTTGCTCATCTGTTTACTCTTATTGCCACCCATTATTGGTTTTGCAAATACTGTTCATTCCACAGTTCCTCCCCTGCAGCAGACAGTTCTTGGGCACAACCATCTCTGATGTCAGTGTGGTGTGCAGGCACCCTGCTGTGCTTGGTGGGTGTATTGCACTTCCAGAACACTGACTGGCTGCTTCCATTTGCCAGCTGGCAGAGAGACCTTTTTAGAGGTAGTAAAGCCAAATTTGTAAGAATGAATCAGTCTCATTAGTTATGACTACAGTGGGGATCGAAAGTTTGGGCACCCCAGCTAAAAATTTGTATTAATGTGCATAAAGAAGCCAAGGAAAGATGGAAAAATTTCCAAAAGGCATCAAATTACAGATTAGACATTCTTATAATATGTCAACAAAAGTTAGATTTTATTTCCATCATTTACACTTTCAAAATAACAGAAAACAAAAAAATGGTGTCTGCAAAAGTTTGGGCACCATGCAGAATTTATAGCATGCACTGCCCCCTTTGCAAAGCTGAGACCTGCCAGTGTCATGGATTGTTCTCAATCATCGTCTGGGAAGACCAGGTTATGTCAATCTCAAAGGTTTTAAATGCCCAGACTCATCTGACCTAGCCCCAACAATCGGCACCATAGGTTCTTCTAAGCAGTTTCATTAAAAATGACAACCAATTTCAGATATTTCTAAAATGCTGAATGCTAATACCATGTAGATCCAAGGGAAGCTTTCTTACATGCTCAAATGGGAAAGATTTTGGGCTAGGGAGTTATCCCCTGAGACATGGCAGGTCGTCTGGGCTCAAGCATATAAGAGCTCCATCTGTACTCTTTATAAAGAAAATTCATGTAAGATACTCTGCTTGTTGTACATGACACCTGACATCCTCCATGCTACCTATCCCACTAGCAGTGATTGCTGTTGGAGATGCCAACAGAACCGAAGTTCCCTCTTCCACGTTTTCTTGCGATGCCTGCGTATTGGAAAACGGTTCATCAGCTTTTACAGTGTTTAATTGACCTCTCTATTCCTTTATTCCCCTATACTATTTATTTTAGGGTTTAAATCTTTGGGCCTTTCCAAATCCAATAAAAAAATTGATGAGACATATCCTCACTGCAGCAAGATGCCTTGATTACACTCAACTGAAAGAAGAGGGAACCCCCCCCCCCCCCCACCCCCATCATATACTGCACTGTGCTCCAGAATCAAGAATGTGGAACCTGTGGAAAAGCTCACTGCTAGATTACACGATACACTAGAAACCCATAATAAGGTATGGGAACCGTGTCATCTTCAGGACAATCAGCCCTGATGGCACTACTTCACTTACCTGTTAGCCCGGCTGCCAGTCTGAAGGCTAGTGATGGAGTTTGCGGAACTCCTTTCCTTCTTTCTCCCCTCTCTCCCAAACCCGCCCCCCCCCCCCCCCCCCCCCCTTTTTTTTTTTTTTTTTTTTTTTTCCCCTTGTTATTACTTCTCCCTCCTTCTTTTCCACTCTATTTTCTGTTTCTGCTACACGGAGTACCTGGTCCATGGCGCACGTTTATCATTATACTGCAGGAATAAAGCTTCTCTTTGCCTAGCTCACATGGATTTATGTTATATGAAATGGCAAAGCTCCCTGTACTGTTTTGTTTCATCTTTCATAATATTGAGAACTTTGTTTCTTGTACTCTTTGTCAATAATGCTGAAGAGTACTATGTACACTGTGTATGTTTTGTAAAACCTTTAATAAGATGTTACTTATAAGGCTCCTCCAGATTGGGATCCAATGATTAGAACCTCCAGTGAAACTTGTCTTATTTAAACCTCAGACAGCCAGTATCTGGTAATCTCTATTAGTATTGATGGAGTGTTGTGTCATCATGCCCAAGTTCAACAGAGCTCTCCTGGTTCACACCTATGCAGTTTGCTTTTGATCCATTTTTGCAATGCTTTTTGCATTTCACTTTGCGCTTTGCCACTTTTTTTCAGCGTTCTTTTAGTTTTGTTTTTGTTAAAGTAAAAATTGTTGTTGCTGGGCAGAATAAAAACACGACAAACGCATAAATGAACGTACAGTGGCTGAAAAACACATAGATGTGAACAGGTTCTATAAAACATTAATGGACTGTAGTGTGTTTCTGCAAAAAGCACTAAAACGCATTGGTGTGAACCAGGCTAAGACCCTCATAAAGAGATCTGTGGGTCTGGCAAGAGATTTAAAAGGGTTGTCAAATGATTTAAATTATTTAATATCCCCCCCCCCCTCCCACCACCACCACCGCAAACAGCTTTCACCCTAAATATAGGCTTGGTAACAAGTTGAGGAGTCACAGGAGGTCAGCAGGGGCAGGGTCTTCCTAATCCTGGCATAGTGTGCAACACTTTAAACCCCATTCACATTTCAGTGATTTGAAGTGCGTTTCCTGAAGCACTTCAACGCCCAACATTAGTATTCCCATAATATTCAATATTGCTTGTTCACACCTGAGCACTGTATTGCGAGAAGCTTGTTGCACAAAGCTTGAAAAAGTACATGAGCTTCTTTTTTGCAGAGTTGTGTGTTTTTGACCCCTGTAGACTTTAGTGGGAGTGCATGAAAAATGTCTGAAAATGCTTGTAACACTTGCTTTTTTGTGACTTCTTGCCTCTCTTCCTCCTAGCTTACACCTAGTGTTACTAAATCCACAACAGTAAAATCAGTCTGTATATGCTGTAGAGCATGCTTGTTATACTCTCTGTGAAACCTAAGGGGTTAATCCTCTGCATTTGTAAAAATGTTGTTTGATTCTGACTTCTCTGATTCTCCTCTTCTTCCAGTGCTCCCCTCTTATCTCCTGATAAGACATATGGTGAGGAGACACTACACATGCTCAGTTTAGTGTGTATTGCTAGAGAGGGGTTTTTATTTTATTTTTTTCTTGGGTGAGTGCATGTGATCAGCACAGGGCCAATCAGCACTGCCCAGACAGAGGTAAGAGGTTTTGCATCCTCAAGAAAACTCCTCCTACAAGCATTAACCAGTGCTTTGCTGAACACTGATAGAAGTCACAAGACTGCTCTAACTGCTGATGAGAAAAGGTATTTAGCAGTTTATATTTACTAAAATAATTGCATTTCCGTGTTGTGTGTACTGTGGGAGACCAGGTATAGTGAATGCAGGGTCC